TTTAAACGGTAACTGTAACGGAATACAGTTACTCATATTTTGTATTTTAAATACGTAACGGCGGTACATGTATTCCGTTACTCCCCAACACTGCCTACAAGAAAGTACTTCCTATGGCTATTGGATCTCAAGTTAACTATGTGCTTTTTCAAGGGCTAAAAAGATACGTATGTATGTTCACAAGCTGTGAAAGGTACCTACTTTAGCAATATTTGTAGAGCGTCCATTTACATTTATATTTCTTGATAAACTAAGCTGCAAAACTGCCACCAGAAGATCAACACTGGTCTCTGTAATGTACAAACCACAAGGGTATGAGTCAGTATGGTCTCATTTAAGAAATTATCACCCCACTGACAAGCCATTGTATCCCTAAAGATATAATAAGGTACTTTAATTTCTGAGTGTGTAGCATGTGGCTGTGTTATCACCTCTCCGCTAATTGGAGCCAGTGTTTCCTTTGCTTTGGTGATGTCAGCCTTACAGCATTGTTTCTGGGAACTTAGGGGGGAAATTTATATTGAAGGATAAAAGAGTCCATTTTTCCTCTTTACTTAATGCGCTTTTTTTTCTAGCACAAGACCTTCGAGGCAATTCTGACGTTCATTTGAGACTTGTATTATTTATAACTTTGATTTAGATGAAAAACACTGTTGGGGTGCTTTGTCTGGTGAAAAAAAGGTCTCTCTCGCATCACCGCAGCTCTTAAAAGTCCACCTTGTGGTTTAAGTCATTGACCCTCCCTCTCCTCTATTCATCGTTCAACAAATGGCGATGCCCGGAGAGAGGCTTGCCTCTATTCCCTGCTGCGCTTTCCATTAGAAGTACTGACACACAATAGAGCATTTTTAAGCCGTTGACATTGCCATTGTAATGGACTGGGGTCATGGCATTATATGTAGGATGTAATGCATAAAACGCTGGTTAAGTACACACTGCTGTTCTTTATGGCTTTCAAATTATAGGGAAATCTTTTCACCTTTGTTCAAGGTGCTGCTGCGCAGGAGTTCACATGAATTCATTATCCTCGAGTTAATCATGTGACCCCGTGACCCAGCGCACACAGCGCAGGGATACTCATTCATATATAGCAGACCCAAGGTTCCATGGCGACATTTATTGGAAAAGCAATTAATTGAAAAACACACAGTCAGAGGAACGTCGGCGCTAGTGTCACTGCTGTCACCAAGTGAATTCACTATATGGATTTCAGACTGCTCTGTGACTATTTCACACAACGTGATTTTCACAGGTTGTTTTCAGGAGTTTGACACTTTGACACAGCTTAGCATAAAGACTAGAATTGGACCGGTCTGCAAGTGAACTACCGCTTGAAGCTCTGTGCTGGTGCTGGAGACCTTATTTGGTAAGGTTAACCTGTAATTCTTTATGATAAAAACTAGAACTCTAATTCTGAGTAGCCTGAAAAAAGAAATGAATATTTACCAGAGAAATGGAATGGCCAATTCTTTAACCACAACTCGAATACAGCTGAATGTTGAACCAGAGAAGGGCACCCATCTGTCACTTTCCCCTCAGCTATGTATAACTTAAAGCTTTCAATAACATATTTGCTGAATGTTCCTCAAAAGTTAAACGAATATGAGCTGTATATGTTTAAAACACACTGATAAATAACATGTTAAATGCACATTCATCATGTCAAAAATGAGAGATATGGATCGGTTGATTAACATATGCTGACTGTATTTCTTTCAGGCTAGGAGGAGAGAGCAGAGGAGAGGACGAGCGCGGCAGATTAATGAGACTCCATAAGAGCAGGAAAGGTGAAGAAGAGGCAGACAGAAGTGACGGAGTTTAAAAGGGGCCGAGATCGTAGAATAGAAGCAGGAGCTCTGAGACCAGGGTTGGTAAAGCTCAAACTAAATCGTTTACGTGTCAGCATACAATCTCACAAATGACTGCTTCACCAACATCTTGCTGTTATTATTTATTTTTCTGAGGTTCTACGGCTGCTGCTTAAAAAAATATCAACAAAGGTGAAGAACACACTTTTTAATTTCAGCATCAACCTGATTTACCCGTAAGGTACAGCCCGGTGTCTGGCATTTTCCATAAAAAGAACATTTTGGTAAGGTTCATGGAAAGTTCAGGGTTTTGGATAAAACTTGTAATTTTAATTAAATATTATAAAAAATCACATAACAAATGAACACTAAGGGTATGGAATCGACAAGACTAAAATACATTTAAGAGGAAATACTAAATTATTGGAACCATGATAAGTGGATGTTTATTATAATGTTTCCGGTAATAATATCTTGGGTAACTATGACAACTCTTAGATCTAATGCGTCCAAGCCCAGTGCTCAAGAGAAATGCTTAATTTTAGATAATAGGAGAAAAACCAGTGGGCATTAAGCTGTCGACAGAAGCAATACAGATAAATATAATGTACCCAGATGGAACCGAAAAGTGCTTTTTAAACTTTCCATGATCATTTTGCGTCTTTTCCCCTCAGTGAAACAGTCACAGTTAGAATCTGCTGTGCAGTAATTGATCCAAAGTAGCCTCAGCTGCAGGTTTCTAAGTAGCAATGGTGTAAACTATCAAACTGCTGCTTTCAAACAGCAGGGAGAATCCTGACAATTAGAATCAAATTTGTTGATTTTCCAGATTGAGTGTCAGAAGAAGGCAGACATCTGAACCATAAGTGGACATTTACACAACTCAGTCAAATGTGATTATGTGTAATGTTTCTGTTGCTCTCTTGCCTCACATGTAAATAACAAATAAAGATTAAAAATCAGAAGCATCTCCTGCCACAAATTCCAGAGTTATATAAAATCTATAAAATTCAATTCACTGTGAATGCAAGCATTGTATATGCACAGTTTTCCTGCATATACAATACCTGCATGACTTGCTAATACTCAGAGGAAAACCTCTGAGTATCCTCTATTCACATCTATAAAGGGGATTCATAATGTGTATGGGGCTGGGGCAGAGATATCATCATGCAAATGCACTGCTAACATTTAAAAATAGGTGTCTGCTATCTATCATGCAGTGATTGTGAGACCGATGAAATTGACATTTTTCACATGCTCTGCTAGCACATGTCCATTTCCTCATGCAATGGAAAACAAATTCCTAACTGATATCATCAGCACTTGTAGCACACATGGCAGAGCAGACTTATTCAGACCAATCAGGTGAAAGTGAGAAGTGTCTACAAATTGTAATGTAAAATTACAGTTTCCCACACAGTATAAATAGTACAAAAATAAAGTTGCCCATATTTGTGCTGGTATGTGGTCATATACTGTTGCCTAGCAATTATGTGCAAGCATCTCAGGTTATGTTGCAATGCAAATTTCTAATAACTACAGGAAATAATTCAGTAACGCAAACGTTAGTCACGGAGTTCCACATGGTTCTGTGCTGGTTCCATTACTCTTTACATTGTACATGCTTCCCTTAGGCAGTGTTTTCAATATATCAATTGAAAACACTGCATACATGATCATTGCTATGCAGATGACAAACACCCTTATTAATCTGTGGAACCATGCAGAAATGCCTTCATTCATTTGTGCCAATATCACTAAAATTAGAAATATGTGGTCTCAGACTGATGCTGAAAAACTACTGTGTGTTAGTTTAATAAGGAATCACTCGTGTGCCTGCTAGGTTATTCATTACATCACCACCACTTTCCCATGCTGTCAATGTCAATACAGACATCTTTACTTTAGTCCAATCATCTTCTTTGAGCCAATCAGCCTCCACTCCACATCTTTGTTGTCATTCTCCTTTTTAGACTCTCACTCATGCAACCCACCTCCTCTAATCACCACCTCACTAGGAGCTCCATCCAAGCCTGAATCTTCATCTTCACCAGCACTAGTGTCCAGACACCAGTGGGTCCTGCTGTAAATCCTATCACCGCTGGGACTTCGTATAGGTATGATGGGTCATCGGAGTCGAATCGTCAAGTATGTTGATTAACTGCTCTATCTCAATAAACCATGTTCAGTTTTTCCGAGTGACCTCTACTTATTGAAATTCATAATTAAGAGGTTGTTCTCAAATCTCTTTGAAAAGCTTTCATTTGATCCAAAATGGTGCAGCGAGAGCATTAACTGGCGTGCAAAAAGAGACCGGATTTAGCATTGCTTTATTGTCTCCTTGTTAAATCCAGAACTACATTTAAAATCTGCCTTCTCACATGCAAAATCTTAAATAATACGGGCGTGTCATATCTCGAAGTACTTAATTATCCAAACAGAGAGTTTTGCTCTCAGACTGCAAACTTAGTTTTCAAAAGTGGACTGGGAGGTCTGGTATGGAACCTGTCGTAATAGCTGTGTGGCTGACATGCATCCAGTCTGGATTCAGGAGAAACCCTCTCTAGACTCAAACTTTACTTTTAGATTAAGCTTATAGTTGGATCAGGCAATCCTGAAACATCCCATAGTTATGCTGCAACCTGTTGTGGCAGACTGGTTCTGCTGGAGGTTTCTCTATGTTAAGAGGGAGTTTTTCTTTCCCACTGTTGCCAAGAACCAACCAACCATTGGAGGGTTGCATGATTGTTGGGGTTTCCTTCTAATATTGTAGCTTGTGCAAGTTACCTTAGAATATAAAGCCCCCTGCAGGTGGCTGTTGTTGTAAATTAGTGCCATATAACTATAATGGAACTGCACTGAATTGAAATTGAATTCTTTTAGTCATGTCCCCACCAGTGAATGAGTAAATTAGCATTTGTGTGTCGCATAAACTTGTGAAAAACCTTCAATGTTGCACCAAGCTGATAGAGTCCAAGTGTTTGTAGCCTACAGTGTTTTGGTAAGTAATTTCTCTAATAGGAATTTCTGTTTTTCACTAGCTGTGATGCAGTTTGCCTTTCTCTCCAGAGAGCAGTGTTCTTCTGTTGCACAATTAAGCTCTGTAAGTAGCTCACCCAACATTGATTGCGTGTGTACAGACACATCCAGCTGTTCATATTGTTTCCAGAGTCGAGGACCTTCAGGATGGCTACCAAAGGGTCCATTACCAACACCTGAAGGTTGCACGTGTGAAAACCGCAGCCGCTCAGCGCTGCAGTTAAAGCAAACCTGGCTGAGTGATGACAGAGTATTTGAGGCAGATGCGAGCCACACAGTGAGAGTCCTCACGCTGACACTCTCCACTCCCTGCTATCAACCATCAGACATGATTACAGCTCCCGCTTCTTGATCCAGTGCCTGGCTGAGCCCACTGCTTTGATTTCTCGAGATTCTCTCCTACAGCCGAAGTAATCTAACAAGATGCTCGAGTCAGACAGAGACTTGACCCTGGCGTGGTATTTGTTAAAGTCATGCTACAAATGGGAACAATTTGTCAGACATCTTTTACTTTATTCAGATTGAATGAAGACATTTCACAAGGTAGTGCTTTCTCTCAGCTCATATTTTACTGATGGCTGGAGGTAAAGGCAGAGACTTCAGTCAGGAATGCGTCCGCGGGGACCTACAAATAGTACCGCGGGTAGCGAAAACATTAATAATCTCCTGGCAGTGATGGCTGTGACCAGACAGACAGTCAGACTATTACCCTGATGTAGGAAAGTAAAGCAATTTAATAACATTGAAAAACACCAATTAACATTTATAACATGCAATGCAATGAGTGAACTTTTACAAAACACTGCAGTTTTCCCGATCAGGTTGCTAATGTTAATGCTGAACAACAGAAGTGATTCTGTTTTGGAGTGGCAGCATACTCAAAGTAGGGCTTAACAAAACCAATATAACACTTCACTATAGCACACTGAATTAGCGGTGCAGGTGGATGGCAAATATTAAAACCAGACTGAGTAATCTGATTGACAAAAAAGAAGCCTGTAATCCATTGCAGGTACTTCTGACAGTGACATAGCGATGCCACAGCTTCGATTTGCAGGCTACAAATTAAAAAACAAACAAACCTTAGCTTTTGTTGATATTTTTTCATCATCTCTAAAAAATAATTGACATTGTATTACTAATTTAATAAAGTAGCAATGTAAAAAGGAACAGGCCCTCACTAATGAAAAGATCAACACATCCTTCATGTTTGTACCTTATTACATTCCTAAGTTTTTCTTTGTATGCTAGGGCGACTTCTTTCCCCTATCTCAGCTTTTTTTTAAACAAACTGACAATAAATTGTATTGATCTGCTCATTCTTGGTTTGTAAAACTCAACACACTGGTGGTTAAATCCAATTTAATCAAGACTGGGTTATGCGTATAGTTATTTAATGATATCAACCTGTAATAGATTACATTTCTGAAACTTTTTACCCCAAATCTGCTGAAGCACCGCTCGGCTGTTACAGTAAATGTGTGATTTAAACTAACAGCTCAAATGTTTCTAAACAAGGTACAACTAAATTATGTATCCTAACATCACAAGGAGATTCAGGAGCAGGAAGTGGTCTGTATAATATGCAATGATATGTGAACTGTCTTATTATTCTGTCAGGTATAAAACCACTGGAAAAAAATAAGTTAATAAGCAAACCTTTATACACATCTTACATCATATTCAATGAATCCATTTCAAATATAAAAGGTCAGTAATATACGTTCCAATTGAAAAAATATCAACTTGATATCCCCACTTTGTCTGTGGCCTGCTACAAGGTGACACCAGAGGCGAAGCTGCATATAACGATGCACAGCGCAGAGGGGAGTACAAAGAGTACTGCAGCTGAAGGAAAGGAAATAAAAACAAAGCCCTCTAAAATTTTGAGTAATAATAATTATAAAAAAAGACACTCCACACATACAATATACACTATATATACACTGTATTTAGTAATGGTCATTCTGTTGCAACTTAACAAAACAGAGCTGTATAAAATGAGAATGGCAGTGTGCACTTGGCAACGACACATTACGTTTGACACAGAACTTGCGCTCCGCATGAATAATGTCTGTTTCCTGTTGTTCTTTTTTTGTTCCGTCAGCTTTCGTGGAAACTGGATGGCCCGTTCTGCTCCTCATGCCGGGGTCTGAATGGTGGCTTTGATCTCAGCGGACGCCCTCTTCTCCTTCCGCCCGGCGTACTCGCCGATAAAGGAGCCGTCTTCGTTGAACTGCGCGTCCTCGTCGCCGTAGTCCACCAGGCTGTCCCCGCTTTCCACCGCTTTGATCTCCCTGCTCAGCGAGTGTTGGCTGCCCTTCAGTGGCTTCTCGTCGTTGTCGCTGCGAGAGAAGCACAGTGGATTTAGAAGCACCTCATTTCACCCATGGCTTCACTCTGTAGCTTATTGGAGAGGACGGGGCTGCTGCCTCTACAGTGAGCCTCTGTGATTGACATTATCCTTTACCTCTGGTTGACCAATGGGTTATAATCACAAAGATGCACATGTTGAAACAAAATTAAAACATGAGCATACGCGCCTCATTTGATCAAGTGCCAACTGGAGAGCAAATGAGATATTAAGAGGTGCATTAAACTGGTGCTGGTGAGGCTACACACATGCTGTGGTCTTGTAATGCAAGACAACAGTGAAACGATTACAAAGGATGTACTGTGTAATATTGTCATGGGAATTCTGCTGACAGAGCTTGACATCAACTACAGGAGCACGGTGGACCAGCTAGCCTTTCATGAATTCAACCATAGCCTGATTCTAAGGAGATTATGGAAGCAACTCCTTAACCAAACTTCATGAAATGTGATTGGCCAAATGAAGAAGCCATTACATTTTTGGGACAGGACAGAGCATTAGATTTAGCAGAGGATGTGAATAGTTTCTGAGAGCAGAAAATGATAGATATGCTCGATAAATATAGATGTCGAGACAAAAACCGATGATTTTTAGCTCAGTAAAGTGAATAGCAGCCACCTTATTAAACACTTGAAACTTTGGTTGGGGCCATTTTCTGTCTGTGCTAGATTACAGTGACGTGATTTACAGCAGAGAGCAGACTTGGCACTCAGTGACTGTTGAGTAGAAATCAATGGGAGTATTCTAAAATGCCTCTGCCATCAAAGAGCCAATCACCAGCCAAACTGGGAAACATTAGAGTCATGCTGCTGCACTGTTGCATACGCTCAGCTGAAGTACAGTTCAGTGGTGCCAGGGAGATTTAATCTTTCTCATCCAAGTTTGTTTTTTATCATTGAACGGATCCAGGTTAGGTTTACTTCATCAATCAAATTTGGGCTCTTTCTCCTTTTATTTAGATGGACCTCCAAAATAATTGTCCACATAACAGGCATTGCTAATACATGCTTTTACAGGAGCGTTGCTTATAGACATGCTCAACTTGAGTCCCTCTTTATCCTTTATTATTTATAGTCTTCATCATTGCATCTTCCATGAAAATGTTGGGTAATCAAAGATGGTACGAACGTGTTACTGTTTATCTGTTAGATTCTCACTGCTTCTGTGCTAGACCGGCGCACTGGGCCACTCAGCTGCTTTCAGCGTCTGCTCTGACCACCTGGGACACACTGCACTCTAAAAATGAATTTATCACAAATCACAAATTAATAATCACAAACCACCAAATGTTTGCACCTGTATCATTTGTGTCCTTGTTTCCTTCACTCATAGTTTTGTTTTGTTGTTTTTTTTTTTTTTTTTATCATTTGTACCCGTTCCATTTAAACTGCTGTCCGGCACCAATCTTTCCATAATGAAATAAATTAATATCTCATTATTAACACTCACCCACATCTGAGATTATATATTGTGGTTACTGACCTCATTATTTCCTGCCTGAGGCCAGTGCCTTTCTGTAGTCTTGTGGTCACTGTGAGGTTGAAGGTTAACTAGCACTTAATTTAGCTGAGCAGTACCAGCTTCAGCTTTGACTCAAACTGTGTGCTAAGCTAACAGTTTCTTTATTTTTCACTCCAAACTGTTGTATTAATCTTCTCATCTAAGTCCCTGCAAGAAAGTAAACTAGCACATTTCTAGTTTATTCTTTGGACTAGTTAAGTAAACACAGCCAATCAGTGAAAAGCCGTGCCACCTAGCTCCTGAAGCGAACATGACAAAGTCTAAATGCTGTCACACTGAGCCACTTTTGACTTCATCATATCAGCATTTGTTGTGCTGTGCAGATCCCACTGATTGGAGAGTTACACTGGGACTCATACTGCGTTAGACTGTTATGAATTGGACCACTAAAGGATTAATGAAACGTGCCCCGATATTACTGCCCTGGAGATGAGCTGCTTTCAATTACACTGATTGGTTTTAGTGTCCTGCTGTGTGCCGGGCAGCTCGCGTTTAACTCCATCCGGACAGAAAATGGCAACTTGTGAACGGTGCTGTGGCTCCCTTTATGATGCAATCTGTCACAACACACCAACACAACACCGTATCTATGATCACAACCTCCTATGAAGGGATGCTACTTCTCTGACAACACTGACGTGTAAACAGCTTACTGCTGTTCATCACATACTTTCCAGTTACTCAGTCCATCAAATTTCTTCAGCTGAAGAAGTGTGAGGCTCCATGGGAACCTCACGCGTGCTGGGGTGTCTTTTCAGTGAGAGGAAAAGTGCAAAAAAAAACATTACTGAGAGGAGAAGATGGATAAGACCGCTAATACAGGAGAAATTCGTTGGCAGTTGCGCGTGAATTGCAGCGAGGTGATGAAACGGCGCTCTGAGGGTGACGCTTACCTGTATTCACAGAATGTGTCGTCATTCATGCCCTGAGACTCCACGTCTGGGTGAAGGTCTTCTTTTTCTTTTACTGCTCACAAAATAAAGAGGAGATATCAGTCATTTCCTCAAGAGATGACTGCCAGTGAAGATCACTGCGTCCCCCGACTGTTAACACTATCTGAATAAGTTTGAGTGTCAGTCCCTAATTCCCCACACTTACTCACCAATGATCAATGCAAGCTTTAGATAAGCTTACGAAATTTTGCTTTTATATATTTATATATATATATATATATATATATATATAAAAGCAAAATTTCGTTTGCTTTGCAAAAGGAAAAGGGAGAGGGGAAAAAAAGCACATGGCTCAGGCAAATGAAAGAAAAGGTTGTCGCTAATGAGAACTTAATGAGGAAACAAAGGACAGAGCTGCATCTCGCTCTTTATTTCTGCTGACGAGTGAAACGATCGCTGGCCAGACGACAAACCTGAAGGCCATTAGCCGTGAATAATAAAGCTGATAAGGACTCTCGTGTCCCCAGTAGGAGGACTAGTGCTGAGATACCACAGAGCTTCTGTCACTATTCACTATGCAGCCTGCTCATGTGCAGCATTTGCATTTTGTCTCGCTGTGGGCTCTGCACTTTGTTTAGATTGTTTGCTGGAAACATAATGCAAAATTCAAATGCTGGTCATACAGTACAAATGCTTATTTTCCTTTCAATTCAGCAGCCTATTTTATGTATAAATTTGCATTATAATGGCCGAGGAAACAAAAAAAAGGGGAAAACTATCATCATACATATTCTGGTAATGGCTTCTGGGATGATTGATCATTTTTTTCATGTCAACAAACAACAAAATGGAACTATAATGATGCTCTGAGCAGCAATTAGTATTCAAGCAAGGTGATGAGCGTGTGTGCTTGTAAAGTGAGGACCTACCGGAATACTTCCCTCCTTTATTTCTGTTGACAAAGCAGGCGATCAACACAATGAGTGTGAGGAGAGCAATGGCGCACATCAGCCCGATAAACCAGCCCTTGGTAGATATTCCTCCGTGAATGCTGGCCAGACCTGAGGAGAACAATATTGGGTGACTTTGACTCGCCTTGGCCTTTTCATCGGGACACTTGATTGAATGTTTACATCGACGGAGCCTATCTGATGCAAAGGCAGGAGGCAGCAGGGCGCGCCGCTGATGGAAACGCTCCAATATTAATATTAAACAGCTAATCCTGCTTGTCTAATTAATCAAGTAAGGAACGCTGTACAAATGTAATTCCTTCTTAGTGAGCCAAATTAAATCCTCGTGACACCGTAAACGACCACACATCGCAGTCAAGGACACGCGAGTTGCACCTGTTCTTTTTTTCTTTAAAAGGGAGGTGAATTAGTTCTGCTTTTTTTTATACTTTAAGCCATTTTTTTGTCCCCTTCCTCACCTGTTGGACCTGTAGTGATAACATCTTCAAATATACTAGAATTATAAACCCGGCTGTTAGGAATAAGGCGCACAGTGTACTCAGTCTCAGGTTCAAGGCCGTCAATGATGTGGAAAGTCTTAGAGGTGTTTAAGGCCTCTGTTATCTTCCAGTGACCCTCACCTGTGCAGAGGGGTGAATAATCAACAGTGTGTCAGTACACATGAAAACACACAACCACCTTTATCTACTGTAGAAATGGTTGAAAAGACACAAAGATGTGTCACCTACTGTTTCATTCTACTCTACTCATAAACCAACAGAGACTGAGCTTACGGTTGTTCCTATATGTGATATAAAACTCAGCATGCTCTCCTCCAGATCTCCAGCTGATATTTGCAGAGCTGTCGCTAACAGCAGAGCTAACATTAAACAGGGTCGGGACTGACGGGGGGGATAAGACGAGATGAGGAAAAGAAATGGAGAAATGGCAGAGAAGGGTTAGTAGAGGACAAAGCAGATCAAAGTGTTAGCAATCGTGTGTGTTTACAGGATAAAGGATGCTTTCTAAGGAAGAGGCAAGCGTGCTCCTTCCTAACACTAGGCATCAATTACGTCTGACAGAAGGGGACGTTGGGTCACTCTCACAACAGGACAAGAGTAATGTGGATAGGGAAATGGAACCACAGGTGGAGCCTGCAAAGCTGAATGGCAATCTACTAAAACCTGAAGAGCGATTTAACACCAAAGACTGCTGCATGATGGACATTTCACACAAGCAGAAATGAATGAAACATGGGAATGAAGTCAAGTTACCCCTACAACATGTTAATAAGACACTTTTTCCCCTGTGATTTATTATGGTTATTTCACAGTCTTTCTGCCTTTCTGTATTTCATCAATGAACAAAAAAAAAATGTAATCCCAGCAGCTGAAGCCAGACAATGTTGGGCATTTTTCTAGGTAACTCAAGGTAAAGTGCAAATTATTAGAAACTCAACAAGCAGAAAAGCTTTTTCAGCTTTAATGTTGAATGAAAAAAATATTTCAGTGTTTAATTTAATTTAGTGAATTAATCAATTCACAAAGTTTTCAGATTAATAATTAGCTTAAACAAATCCAGTTTTTATTGCTCTCTTCCTGTTAAAGGGGAGTTCTTCCTCTCCACAGTTGCCAAGTGCGTGCACATAGAGCAGCGGTCCCCAACCCCCGGTCCGTGAGTCGTTTGGTACCGGGCCGAAAGTTGAGGCTCGGGTGTGAAATTTTCAGGGTTTTTTTCAGGGTTTTTATCAGTAACTCGGTTTCCGAGTCTGGGTCTTTTCCCGCGTTGTAGTTGTGTGTCTTATTTTGAAAGAAATATTTACGCATTACCATAGTGACCAGAGAGCATTAAGGCGCAGAGAGGAAATGCTCCTCCTGAAATGTGCCAACTCTCAATGTTGTTGGCACATTTCAGGAGGACGCTGCTAATAAAGTTACACAATTACACAGTGAATTTGTGTTTATTATTTACAAAATATCACAGTTTTTGTCTTGGTTGTATCATTTTATTTTGTTGTAATTATCCACGACACCTTAAAGGCCGGTCCGTGAAAATATTTTGTGTGTTCTAGCTTCATGTACGTCAGACATACCCATCAAGGTGATTTTATCCTTCTTATCCTCAAACAGAGAAAGAGGGAAAAACAGTAATTGATGAGCATGATTAGTATGAGAAACGTGTGCTTTGACAGCAGCTGTCTAAGCTAGTCAACAAAGCACAATCCACTTCATTTCACCACAGCAAACATGCAAATCTTCATCTGTGCCTCAAGCTCAGGTGCTTTATTTGCTCAGGTGATAATTCAGTTCACAAGAACACCTGTGTCTGGGCTGTCCATCCCAACAACTGCAAATGACACTCTGACTAATGTTGATGGATTAGTCACCAGCTATAGCGATTCTAGTCATTGCAAGTTTGTGATGACTTCGACTGACGTAGACAATCTGAGTTAAAAATATCCAGAGGCTTGCTGCCGTGTTTTGTCACCATGTTCCTCAGCTTGCTATTACCTTCTGCAGAAAGCAGCTGCTCACCCAGCAGGGAACGAATGCCCTGGAAGATTCCCCTTCAAAGTCAGAAATCTTTTTTTTTTAATAAGGAGAGACCAGAAAATATTCTGATACAGGAGCTTTCAACAGCTTCCACTTATCTCAGTGTCCTGTAAATATCACCCTCCCAGTATGAGCTCATACTTCTCTGCATGGCTCAGGAGGATGTTTCTCCTTGCTGTTTTCTCTCTGTCCCTGGACCTCTTCTTGTCCCAGAGCTGTGTTGCTGTTTACCCAGTTGAAGATTACATGGAAATGTCAGGTGACTGCTGGGTCAATACACTGCCACACAGAGGGCTGAATGGGGCCCAACAAATCAATCACTTACAATTAGACATATCTGTCCTGTTCAAGTGACTGCACTCCACTGCCACACTGTGGGATCGGGATATAGATCTAGTATGCTAGATTTCCCGGTGGTGTAGCAGAGAAATGAAAGCTTACAGTACAATATGGCTCCATTTTACATTATAAACTAGTTGAAAAAAAATCCTGAAGATGCTATCACATTATAATAGTCAATGCTCCTCTGCATTTATTCCTCAGCCTTTGCTGTCGATGCTGTACGGTTAAGGCTTTGCTGTGTCAGAAAGTGCTGTGGCTCTACCTATGGTGGAACGAGTGGGTTTGGTCACAGGGGACTTTGGAGTGCTTGGAGGTGAGGGGGAAGCTGACTTGCCTGAAAAGAAAAGACAGACCTTGTGGTTATCAATTGGGGCAAGGGCTTGAGGTGCTATCGTCTACTGTTAGCATGCATGCTGTTGTTAAGTACGCTCTAAAATTAGTGACTATGCAATCTGAAACACGATCTAGAGTTTCAAAACTGTATTTCACACTTCTGAGATGTGCCTTTTCATTTTTACTCCAGTCCAAAAGAAGAAAGAAAAAGGGATGAGTTTGTGGCGTGTCTGATGCTCTTAGTGCGGTTGGCTCTTAAGGCGTCATTTATTACCCCAGCTTGTTGCACCGAGCCTGCCGTTGCTAGGAGAAAAGTCAATATTCGTTTACAGCTGCTAATGAGCCAAGATTAATATGAATTTATAATTAGGTTACTCATTACCAATTGTTATTAGAGAGGAAGCTGCAAAACTTTATCTAAGAAGAAGTTGACGTTTTTCTAATGAAAGGAGGCATCAGAGTGCTCTCTGCTGATGGCAAGGGCAAACAGCAGACAAGGTCAATTATGTGCAGAGAGGCTGAGTGTTTACGGCTGCTAACTTCTGCATAGGACAAATAAAAAGTGTCCAAATGTTTGACAGTCAAGTCCCAATGATTTATTCAGCCCTACAGCAGCTACACACATCCATATTTCTAAACCTAAAAGCATGCAAGCACTACCAAATAACAAAATGGTGAGCATGTCATACTAACATGAAAGTTATTCTATCACTATTTCAGAGCAGTTTGACGCTCTCTATATGTGTACATATGACATGCCACAGTTGCTGCATAAACAGATCTACATACTGAGGCCAACAGCAGGAGCCAAAATGGAAGCTGCAGAAAAGAAAAAAAAGAAAACAGACAGAAGGGACAAGCATTGCATGGCTAAGCAGACGTCCACATTCACAGGCACATTTATAATACACACTGCATGATCAAAGCTACGTCTCAAAGCAATGCACTATTTTAGTGGCATATGTGAAAGCAAGCAGAGGACCATTAAGACAAATCCTCACACACACACGTATGCACACAGTGATGGAGGTGTTACCACAAATAGCTTTCATGCGCAGACCTTGAACCTCTCCCCTGCACATGTGATAGTCTGACAAAATTGCAACTCAATACATATAAAATGAGCCATTCTTCCTGTAATCATCTCTCTGGCGTTTTTTCCCCCACCATGCAAATAAACAACCCCTAAGAGCCAATTAAGTGTCTTTCTGTGATTGTGAGGATTCTTACAGTAAACAACAAGTAATCGCTTGCATATTAAGCACCTGTGCTGCACTTCAAAGTTGAGAGTTCTGCTTTTACCTAACACAGCCTGAGTGACATACTACATTCGTTTTCTTGTCCATTTGTATTGAAAGAGCCACCTGCTTATTTCTTATGACTACAGCGCATTTAGTGATGCTTGCAAAAAGCTTCCTGCTTCAATCACTCGTACCACCGACCACAATCACAGGAGCTTGGCTTGAGTTTGAGCCAGATGAAGTATGGTGTGTGGACCTCGACTAATGATATGTAATTAAAAGGCAAAGATTACATGTTACAAGCTGGCTTATTATGATGACTTACCCGGCAACTCTTTCATGATTGCACAATTCGGTAATAAAAGCTTCAGTTTCCTTTCTGCTCAAAGCAATTTTCTTTCTCAGCTGATTGTTTCATAGCTCACGCTCTCTGTCCAATCAATAAGCACTTGCTCTCTCATGACAGTGACAAATGAAAACCTCCACTGCAGCCATATGAAATTGTTTATCCACAAAAATTACTTACATGGAGATATGAAAAACTTGGCTGCTCAGGCTTATATCATATTGCACTAGTTCAGTGCCACATCGAAATGGTAAAATGACTCTGTCACCTGCTTTGCTTAGCCTCGGTTCACCAGTGCAAATTGTGCTCCTCAGAGCTCGTCCGCATTCCCAATGTTCCCCCACTGAGAAAGTGCCACGCTCTACCAGCCACACGTCCATGCAAGCTTATCCGGACACATAAAGCCCGATCGGCTCGGCTTTCCGGGCCTTCAATCACTCACTTGTTTCCAGGGTGGTGGTGGACTCGTCGCTGACGTCAGGCCCGCAGCCCACCGTGGTACAGGAGCACAGGTAGAACTTGTATTTACTCAAAGGCTCCAAGTCACGCAGGATCCATGTGGTGGTCTCAGGTTTGCTAATATCTACTGTCTGCAGTGGTCCCACTTCTTCTGTGTCATTGACTAGAAGTAAGGCAAGGCAAAAAAAAATACGTAAATGTAAGTATTTTGTCACAGTCACCTAACAGAAGGCAAAGGAGCAACAAGGGAAAAACTCTTATACTTACACTGCATTATGTACAGTGTAAAATATCAGGATTGTCTGCAGCTACAGTGTATTAAGCATAGCCTCTATATAAAATACAGACTTAGCCACTGTGACTTCACCCACTGGCTAGAGAAGTCCTGTTGTGAAGCCTCACATTGCTGTGTCTTGCTGCTGATGATCATGTGGATATTCTCAACGAGAAATTGCTCCTGTCGTAGTTATTTTAGGGTATTTTCACACCTGTGGTGTTCAAGTTCATTTAACTTGGATTCTGGTTCATTTTACACCTTGGTGTGGTTCATTTGTGCAGATGTGAACACAGTAATCAAGACACTTTGGACGGGTTGGTCTGGAGTAGTTTGTTTATGACGTGACTGTGATCTGACCTCAATCCGACCCAATTACCAGGAGTACATTGCAGGTTAAAGGTAAAAAACTTGCCGTAGCTATCCACGCTTTATATTCAGGAATGCAGCACAGATGTACAAAGGTCAGTACAGACTAGCAACTAGTCGTGACAGAAACGTAAATTCTCCACGTTCTTCCTGTATGCTCCTCATTGCATCTGGTTCATCCACCTTTAATATACAGCTTGTGGTCGCAAGAGGAATTTTCTCACTCATTTTAAATTCATACACAGTAAGGATCATGCAATGTAACTATGCAGAATCTTCATATTCAATACATGTACCATAGTAAGAACACTTGTTTCACAGATTTCAGTCCCTTGAAAACACAGCTTCCTTACCTAGTTTGTTTTTACATTTGAAGAGGTGTTTTTGCCTGACAGGCAGCATACTTTATATTAGTACTACACTCCCAGATTGTTTTTTCCCCATCTCCAAAAGGTGTCAGCAATTAGTTCTGCTGGAAGTACTTGTGCACGCTGTATACAGCTTGATGAAACTCAAAGAAGTTTGTGTCTTAGTGACAACATATTTGTTTAACTGCTTTACTTTTCTGATCTACTGATGTGACCACACATGAACATGCATCTAAGCCTCCACATTAGAAAACCATTCTTTCCAGCTTTTCTTATAATATAATGTCTATACTAAAATGATTCTGGTCATGATAGTTTATCCATACATATAGAATTTTGATTTCTTTAATTTTGACATGATTGATATCATAATGTTGTTACCCTCTTATCCCATACTCTGCTCTTCCTTGTACCCAATGCCTTTTTGTTCTTCTATTTTTTTTAACTTTTGACTGAATGACTCCAGCATTTTGACACACAGTGAAATGTTTGACTGTGCCTTGTTTTTGGGGAACTCTCTAGTGGCCTTTCAAAATACTTCCAACTGACAATCACGGGACATTTCAGCTCTGCCAAAAAAAGAAAAGAAAAAGCAAATGTCACTTGTCATTTTGGCTTGTACATTTCCTGTTTGGGCTTTAAAAAAAGAGGCAACTTGTTCTTTGCTTTTTCAGGATTAATCCCTCTATAATGTCTCCATTAACAAAAAAAACAACAACCCTGAAACAAAACAAAAAAGCTAATTGTGCTCCACTAATTTATGGTTGCAATTTGTTTGAGTTTTGGGTGTGTGCTCTTTGCCTACATTGTGATGGGATCTCATTTTTCACTACGTAAAGCAGCCCAGTAGGTAGGGAGGTGGCATTTATGTTCTTTGTGACAAAAACAAACACAGCAGGTGTTGAGGTGACCTTTGCTGTGAAAGAGGTGCCACGTCTCTCAGGTAGAAGGCAACAGAAACAATGACAAGAATGTATTGGTCTGCTTCTCTTATTTGCCTGGATGCCACCCGCTGTTATCAGACATCCTGATTTGGTTTAGTTTTATTTTGTTTTTTTGCTCAGTTTTATTTCCAGGGACAAAACCACTCGATTTTTAGTATATTATGCAATCAACTCTGGTACAAAAAAAGAGGCCACAAGCATCGTGTTTCCACCCTGCGGTGGCATTACTTTCTCACTTTTACGGCAAAACTCGGACCTGACAGCTGGTCCGTATGATCTTATGGAGTGAACTGGCTGAAGGCTTCAGACTTTGGCGCTTCCACTAATGACAAACAACAATATTTCCAAATATTCTTCATCCTAGCGGGCCAAATGCAGTTGGCCTTGAGGAGCGTGAGGCAAACCAAGACTCTCCAGCACTGAAATGTGACCTGACAGCAAGTGTGAGTTTAGCTCAAATGGGAGAAAAACAGACTGTGTTATAGCCAAGGTCATTTTTAACTCCCACTCGTGTCGATATAGCAGTTCAACGCAGTACAAACTTCACTGGAACGGTCTTAAGTGCTCAAAAATATGTGCCTGTCTCAATCTGTATCACATATAATTGGAAATAAAGTGGATATTTTATGAAGCCTTGAGTGGATTTTCAGTGCATAACAGTGAAATGATCTGTGTACTCAGGATTAAAGACTTCAATGTGACAAAACAGGTTGAGTATGAGCCCCCATCTGTACTTTTATGACAATCTTATCTTTGCCTTGTCAAGCTCCCTGAGAGACAGTCAGACGGGTGTTTAGCCTGTGCTGACATATGATGCCCCGGGCTTTAGAGCGGGTTAACAGCTCTTTAAGGCAATGTGACTATATGCCACCCACTCAAGTTATCAGGGTGACTTTACATTCATACAAGCTTTAAGTGATTCAGAAAAGAACTTGATAAAAACTTGTTACTGACTGCAGGTAGAGGGAAAATGTTTATGATTTCCACATCTCCTGGTGTGTGTCCCACACAACTAGATCTTATGTTTTTCCCCTGCCGACAGTTTATTTTTCCCCATTTCAAATTTGCCAGTGGTACTGCAGTGGATCCAAGTAAGTGCAGAGCAGAGTTTGAGGTTGTTTGGCTGTGCAGTTTTCAGATTGGGTATTTTAACAAAAAATTGTTATCAGTGTTTCCCCTAGAGTGGCAGCTGTCCAATCTGTGAGCGGGGGAGGAGGGCATCACGCACACACATAGACACACCTGCGGCCACGTAGTGAACAGGTACACACACACGGACACATTCAGTGAGTGTATCCTTCAGGCTCTCCTCTTTTCATATCAGCAGCTTCATGATTATGTACACGTGAAAGATTTAAGGGACATCTGTAAATTTGGGTTACTCTCCCTCTAAAGGGGAACTGCACTAGTTAAAGATAAAGTCAGGAGCTGATATCACCATCGAAAGGCTTTATCCTAAAAACTTGTTATTTCAAAGCAGGTTAGTTTAAGTGTTTTAAACCCAGCGTCGATCCGGCTTGCGTTAAACAGTGTGTTACAACGGGGCCTCTTGTGAAACCGGTGAAATGTGAAGCTATTAAAGGCTGCTGTGAAGACGAGCATAGTCTTAAACAGCTGCGCTGTAGCTTGAGATGACTTGTGTCACTGATGATACACTGACAGCTGGCTGCATTATCCTCAACGTTTCGCACATGACTTCCTTCAAGGGGACTTCAAAAAAAGAAAAAAGTCACACTTCAAAGAGTCCATCAGCTTTATTGCTGTGGCACAATGAAAACGTCCTCTCCTGAAATACTGCGTGACGCCGGGTCCTTTTTTTGTGCTGCTGCCAAATCAAACTCAATTAGCCGGGAAATGCAGCACTAAGACGTTGGAAGTTAGTCATTAGCTTCGTTATGACTTTTATTTAAGGACAGCACAGTGTGTGCACACGTGGGATGTGTTCAGGGATGATGTCCCCTGGGACAGAGCTACGCTGAGGACGTTTCCTGCAGACAGGATGGGGTCAGTAAAACCGGACCTTAACAGACTGTGACTCAGAGGCCTTGTTCAGCACTAGCCGAGCCGCGATCATGACACAGGCCAGTAGACACCACCCTGACATGGTTCCTATACACACACTCTGACCCCAGCCTTATTAGAGCAGAGCAGCGATTCTTCTTTCTGTGTAAAGGATCATGGGTTAGACAATCACCACTTTCTACTTTTCCCAAGAAACTGTTCAGGTACTGCACATACTTTTCTGCAGTGCAGTATTGTGTAGAGGAAAAGGTTTGAAACAGTTAAGCCGATATGCAGTCAGTCTTTTCAAATTGAAATAGATGGCCTGTTTGTTTTCTTTACAGAGTACAAGCTGAGGGGAAACTCTATTAAACACAAGGTGAAAAACGCATCATCTTCTCACAGCAATACAGAAACATCACCATTATATGTGTGTTGATTAAGTGTAAGGATGAGGAATAGGGATACGTACTGAGATGGTACTTAAGGAGGTAGCCAATGAGAATCCCATTAGGCTCCAACGGCGGCTTCCAGGCCAGAGAGACAGTGTGCCTCTGTACATCTGTGACCCTGAAATCATGATTTTTCTCTGGGACTGCAAAGCCGTGCACAAACACAAACACACACACACACACACACAGCAAGCAGTCAAATTCTGCAACCCAGTTTACTTGGCTATTATTAGATTTTCCCTTCAGTAGTTGTGAATCAATACACTCCATGCTGTTTTTCCACAATCTTACCTCCCTCTGGGGTTTTGAAGTTGACGGGATGACTGCCTGGGCCGTTGCCCCGCCCGTTGAAGGTCATGACGATGAGGCTGTACTCGGAGAAGGGCGTCAGAATTGGTACCGTGGCGTGGTTCTTATCCCCGGGGACTGCCAGCGTGTGTTTATCTCCGGGACTTTTCTTTGAGTCCACCAGACTGCGCAGACGCCACCAACTTATCTACATCAGGAAGGAGGCACACAGAGACATCCTCAGCAGTGCCTACAAGATATCAAACTTTGAACATCATACATATGTACATGTGTGAGGGAATGCTGACTGAGTTAGTGTGATTTTTTTTTTCTGGTGCTGTAAGCAAGAAAACATTGAGCTGGACACCAGTAAAGGAGACAGAGTGAGGTGAGAGAAGCAAATGTTTAGAGCAAGGTCAGTGCCATTCCTTTTAAACTGTGTCTAAAAGCAAAGGTCTGGTTTTGAGGTATTACCCTGTAGCCTCCCAGATGTCCATGTAACTTGTCCTTGTGTACTCGTGTCCAGCTAACCTTGACCACGGAGCTGTTCATCACCTCCACAGCTACATCATCAGGTGCAGCAGAGGGAACTGCAAAGGCAAACACACATTATAATCTACAATAGGCTGCAAGTGAGGGAAGGAAAAACAAAGCCAAACAACACAAAAATACAAAGTACTACTCGGCTTGCTTACATTTAGGGATCACTGATTTACTGGAATACCTACAAGGAGGGAACTCTACTTGGAGTCACAAAAAAATGAAAAAACAAACAAAAAACAAAAACAAGTGCTACATTTCCTAAAATCCCATTTTACTCAGGACACAGCAGTGAGAAAGTGTCATGACCTGAGGTGACCTCCTGAGGACAAATCCAAAAGAAAGCTAAACAAAAGAAAAAGAGTAAAAAGTACGGTACATGGTGCTTTCTTCTTCTAGCACACTGCAAAAAAGGATTTTCAAGAAAATAAAAAAACCTTGTTCATGAACATGTTTTCTTATTTTTTGTCTAAAAAGAAAACATTCTTAACAAGCAAGTTTTGCACAACTGCACAAAATTAAACTCATTCAAAGAAAATATGTCCAACGTTTTCTTAAGATATTTCAGCTCATCTTGAGCTTTCAGTTACAGGATATGACAATGGTTTGGCTGAAATTCCAGAATGAGAATAAGATTATTTTTCTCTTATTTCAAGAGTAAACAACTTTTCAATTTTACGCATTTAAAGATGCCAGTTTAGCTCAATGCATTCAGCATGCGCTCACATGCCGCATGGCTGAAAGTGGCAAGCCTCGGTCTGACCCTCAGCCCTCTCTCTCTCTGCTTTCTGTCAATTCTTCACTGTAACTATCAATAAAGGCCAAAAAAGAACTATATTTAATGACACTAAAATTTGTCCTATAGTAACCTCTTTTTGTTTGCGTAAAAATCTAAATTAAGGTGTGAAATCTTAAATTAAGCAAATAATTCTTGAAAACATCTTGAAAAGAAAGGCCAATACTCATTTTCTAAATATCAGTCTTTCCTTGTAATAAGTCAAATTTTCTTCAATTAATTTTCTTCATTTTAGTCAGTTTTGTCTAGTTAAAAGGCATACAGCAGTTAGATTGTCTTGACGTATGCTCAATCATCCGGGTAAGTAAATCCCAAATTCTTGATTCTGTTGACCTGGACGTAGCGTTTTCAGTGGGAGAAATGTTTCGTCACTCATCCAAGTGACTTTTCAGTCTCAGCTGACTGCAGGTTTCCCCAATCAAACAGGACATTTGTACAATAACTGAAACTAGCATCACTGAATGAATGAACAATGGACTGTGAGGTCAGTTCCTCGATCATTAATATGATAACCATAACCAAACAATATTTGCTTAACCCACTGACAGATTTTTATTCTCAAAACAAAACAATTTTGTCAGATTTAAGAATATTTGGCTTATTTCAAGTAGAGCTGTTTTTTCAGTGTACTACAGACCACAACCCTGAAACTCCAAGTGCAAGTCTAAACGTGAGTCCAAAACCCTACAACAGAAGTACAACAGAATGCATCTTCACAAGTTCACTCAAACAGTGAATCTGAAAATACCAGAAGTACGAACAACTGCAAATTAATTAAATTAACTGGCTAATTTACACTAACCAGTGGGACCATTAGCACACTCCTATTGAAAACGGTGAAACTAAATTACACATGAACACATTTTAACGCTTACATACATCAATTATGACAGTATGACAGCATGACAGCATGTTTTATTAAGAAAATCCTGTAACTGCATGTCTAAAAGAAACAAATATTATATTAAAGTTGCATTACACAAATGCCTCAAAGGGCGAACTAGCACAACTTATGATATGATGCTGCTGTAGCTAATGTACCAACCTCCTATATGGTTGGATAATAAATCAAAAAATATGCTAATAAATATTAAACTGGTTTGGTGGCTAGAAAACCTAGCAAAAATTTCTTTCCATGTTTAGTATAAATCTAACAAAGGCCAAAAAAGTGAAAGTTTTTGCTAAAGGTCATGTGGGCACAAGAGGTTTAGAACATTTAAACATGTTCATTTTTTCTTTTTTGTTTAGCTTTGAACAAACCGCAGCAAAAGCCAGCTTATTTTTCCCAACTTTTCTTTTTAGAAGGGCATTTTTAGCCATGCCATGTGTTTTGTATTTACCAAAACAATAACTTTAAAAAAACTGCTCCACAGAGAGGAGGACGGCTGCAGTAATATTTATTTGCTAGGAAGTAACTTCAAACTCCCCTTTCCCATAACATATTCTCATTTTATTGTGAATACTGAAAAAAAAAGTATAAAAAAACTTATACTCACAGTCCTCTCCTGAATAGCCAGTCACTAACTTGGGCTCAGGTCCAAAGCCCTGACGATTCTTGGCTTGGATCTTTATTTCGTAGGGAACAAAAGTTGGGGTGTTCTTCACCACGAATGAGTGTCTCTTCACTGTGTGTTCCTTCCAGCCTTCTTCCACATCTTGTCGTCTGTAACTCACCTTGTACTCCAACCCGGGACCATTGTGCTCAATGGGTAACAGGGGCTGTATCGTAGCAGGAAAAGAAAGAATGGAGTGGGTTTCACTGAGACTTTCACAGTTGCGTAAGATACTTGTTATATTTCACCGCGCTATGTCACTCCTTCCATAGGGGAAAAAAATGACTTGTCCGGTGAACATTGCTTGGAACAATGCTTTATCCCACCATCTAATAAAACAATGGAACAATTGACCTGGTCTAGCAGCAAGGCTTTTCTTTGATATAGTGCTTGCTGAGACTTTATAGATGAAAAGATTCATCTCGTCACAGAAGTCAGAGTGAGAAATAGAATGAGATACCATTATCCACAAAAGCAAATCATTAACAGTAGGAGAGCTCATGAATCCAGGATTCAGGGGCTACATTACCATGACGGGGCAACCGGATAATAAGTGAAGGAGAGATTCATCTTTCTACAATAAAGGCCAATATATGACTGTGAGTGTTAAAAAGAAATTTTTTATCTTCATAGCTTTCCTTTCTCTTTCTAATCAAAGACAGAGAGCAGCCTTGAATGAGGACCTCATTCATGGACATTCCAGAAAAGGGCTTTTTTAAAGATCTCTAGAGTGAAATATTATAAATGGGCCATTTCTGTTTCTTTAATTCCTATTGGTAATAGCCTATGAAACATTGATAAAACTTTATCTCTGTTCTCAGAAATTCTTTAACTGCTCAAAACTATAACGAAGGGAATAATGTGCTATGGAAAGGTAGGCCACGTCGCAGAACTTGCAGAAAGAAGATAATAAAAAAGACCAAAGTCTATTTCTTACCTCCCATTTGATATCCATTTCATGTGGCAAATGACCTTCGATTCTGATATTTTCAGGGTTCCTGTCAGGGGCTGTGGAGGAAAAGGAGTATAGATTTTGTCAGCATTGTTAGTGGAAGAAATCTCCAGTGAACGAGGCACACGAGAAAGCAGAGTTTCAACAAGAATGGAATCAATTATGTAGCAGGTCTGAGTGTTTTAAAGTTCACAGAGCAGCAGCGTGTCAAGTGGGCTGGAAGACCCTAACAAAAGGTACTACTGGTAAATACTGAGCGATGAAAGGAGGAAACTCAGACCTTCTGGAGGAGTTTTGTATCTCTCTGTGGCCTCGCTAGGACGCCCGGTTCCCACAGCGTTCACGGCGGACACTCTGAAGCAATAGTCGACATTGCCGTTGAGCTTGAGCTCAGCAGAGTTGCGGTTCCCAGGTACTCGGAGCAGCTCCTTCCAGTTGCTTGGTTCCCAGTGGCTCTCCTCGTACTCGATAATAAACTCTGTTGACAGGCATAGAGACAATCAGAGGTCTCCCTCACCGCTATGAATCCTGCCAAAGGATTACTTATCTAACCACCAGCTGTGCAGAAAACGCCTCAAACCCTGCTCTGGGCTTGTACATTCCTCAGGGAGACTAATCATGATTCATGCTTGGATGAACCAATAATGGATTCATATTGTACAAGATGGTATCAAACAAATCTATTTACATGCAGGGTGCTGCTCAGGAATGTGTCTGTCATATTAATGGCATTCGCTGCGAGATGCACTGATCCTCTCTGCGCTGTATGTCCTGACACCTGCACACATGGATGCTCCTTTTTACCTGTGGTTGAGCTGTTGTGGTCGTCCCCAGGGACCCATTTCAGCGTCACATTTCTGCCCTTGCGGTCAGACAGTACCAAGTTCTCCGGCGCATCGGGGACATCTGAAAATCATCGTAATGGCACGGCTTTTAGGAAAAGAAAATCACAGGGACACAAGATCTCTGCAGCAAGAAAAAGACCCGGGGAGCAAACGTTTGATCGTTCCCGGGAGTCAGAGGATGTGGAACCAGCTGCATCGCTGTGCTGCCCGTCACTGTTTTCTTTAGACTTTAACATGTCGACAACATCTTCAAAGAAGCTGTGCTAATAAAGCCACGGTCTGCACCTTCATGCTCTGCGCTTGGCTTCCTGACATTTTGTGGCCTTCTCGAATTTGCTGCGCATTAATGTAGCATCAGGGTGCTCTGAACTTTTGACCCCCGAAGCAGAAACAGCGCTCGCACGTAAGCTCACCTAACACCATGAGCAGGGCTGAGGCCACGTCCTGGTCCGCTGGAGTTTTTGCCACACATGTGTACACACCCTGGTCGCTGTGGCTCACATTCATGATGTGAAAAACACCGTTCTCCACAAAGTATCTGTCGGTAGAAACATGGAGACGGGGTATTGATTTACCAAAGGAAAAGGGCTTTTCAGCTGGGATTAGGTCTGCAGTGCTGTTTCACCAAATAAATAAAAAATTCTACCTTGAATTCTCAGTGTAGTTGAGGGCTATCTCCATATCATCTTTTTCCCACAGGAGCTCAAAGTCATTGCTGAAGGACTTGTCGTACTCCGCCAGGCATGAGAGCTGGGCCGTGGTACCTATTAGGATCCGCTGGTCCTCCGGGGCCACTACTATTCGAGTGGGATCTTCCAAAGGAAGGACCAAGTTACTTACATTTTGAGGCCCGTGTGAGGCTGAATACAATTCTTTTAAATGACTAAAACTGTTTACCTTTTACATAAAGCATGGCATTGATAGCAGATGATCCCTCTGTGTTTTTGGCCAAACACGTGTACTGTCCTGTGTCACCCCTCTCCACATTGTAGATCTTCAGTGACCCGTTTTCATGAACAGTAAACCTGGGTCCATGAACAGATTCAGGGGAGTCGTCTTTGCTCCTGGAGGACATGCAAAAGTTGTCAGAGGTGAGAAAAATAAATACAAATACAGGTGGCCTACACTACTACACTGTGGCAGCAGTGAAGCGATAAAAGCAGGACATCAGAGCTGAGTGACAGGGCTACTTCAGCTTGAGTTGAAGAAATAGCAGGTCATGGGTAATGACACAGCCAGTATACTGAGAGAGTGCACGCATCGACCAGCTGAGATCTACTGCCCTCTGCTGGTGAAAAAAGCTACACTTACCAAGTGATTGTAGAAGGAGGAGAGCTGAAGACCTTGCAGTGCATCGTCACTCCCTTCCTCTCCACAACAGAGTATTCCTCCCCCTCACTTGTTAAAATCATGGGCTGCAGATCTGCAAAAACCAGCAGGAGACTCTCATCATAACATCGTAACAGTGCTGTTAGAAAAGCATAGAAAAGCACAATATATTTTTTTCACCGTGGAGGAAATGGCTTCAACAAAAAAAAAAAAAAACACAGCTAGATTAGGTTTTAAAAGCTGATAAAACAGGAATGGAAATAGGCAGATAACTGCAGGTTAAATGAGGTGACAACAGTGTTGCTTTACCTGTGCATTAACTGTGAGCTTGTTGTGTTTTTAAAAAGGAAAAAAAAAGAACAAAATAAAAAAACGATTGAGCTGTCAGGTTGTCAGAAATGAGCAAATGTGAGAAAGAAATCAAAGCTGAAAACAATGGAATAATGAGTTCGCTGAGTGTGTGCACCTTATCAGTTGTAGCCAAAGCCTACCATTAAAACGCTCTGTCTCTACTAATTGTTTACAAAGGCAGCAACTGGGACTCAGCATTCAGAGACTGTCCAGCTTTATTAACTCCTGTGTCACCAAGAAGCAACTCCCCACATTTGAGCTGCACAACAGATTTTTTTTTTAATCTGCTCTTGTAAAGCAGCACATGTTTGTCTTGTGGCACTCGAATTGGTATGGAATTGAGAAGGGACTTGTTAGCATATAAATGGTAGGGAACAGGGCTTGTTGCTCCACAGGGAGAACGGCTATCCTGAATGAAGGAATACAGCTTGCAGACGGCTCTCCTTCCCTGGGCTCCTCACTGTTTTATGGGCATATGCCAGCATCAGCGGCAGCTCTCGAGCTTGACACATCAGTCAGGGATCTCTGTGTCTCACAGGGAAGTCTGAACCTTATTCATGTACGCTGCGACACAAATACTTTGTATGGATGGTATTTTCAAAGACCTCGGATGGTGAAGCAGAATTTAATAAAACTGTGGCTCGCTGATATACTTACTCATGATCATGATGTTTGCATTGGACAGAATGGTTCCGTGTCTATTGGAGGCCTCACACTGATAGACAGCACTGTCAGAAACTTGGGCATTATGTATAACTATGGTGTCACCAATTACCCTCCTGTTTCGTGCTGGGGACTCTGGAATAATACAAAGGTACACTCAGTGAACACAAAGTTTTAAACCAGCACAATTAAAAAAAATCAATATGCTAAGCTGAAATTCCCAAATTAACTAACATCAAAAGAATGTGAAGCAACAATCACTTTGATTTTAAGTCTAAAACATTTATGTGTTTGTTATGTTAAAGTGATGTCGGCTGAAGTTGACCTAGGACCTGGCCACACTTTGGTGTACTACCAATCTGTACCAAAAGATGGAGCAGCAAACCAACATAAACTTCTGTTTCAACCAGTTTTAACCTGGAAATCGAGCACATGCAATCATACAAACTTGAGGTGTGGTATCTTTAGTGCGTTACAGAAAAAGTGAGAAAAAACAGGAATTCTTTGGGTTCTTAAGCTAATTAATCACTAAAATCTTTAATCAAAACAGATCTCAACAGATCACATTCATCATCCTTGTAGTATATATAAATATTTAATCATAAATATATGTTCTCTCTATTTTCAATTTTTAAATGACAAACTTAAATCATTTTATAATTTCATTGAAAAATACTTTGTTACGCATCCATGCTGTACCTTGACGCCCCCACCAGGGGTCTTTTACACCATTGTGTAAATCCCAGTGAACTAACTGGGTACTACAATTGGTTTTATTGGTTGTTTGCTTTTTTGGATGGTTTTTAGGGGGGTTGTATTGCAATGTTTAAAGTACCTGTGCACAATTTGAACAGAGACTAGAGGCTTCACACTAACAGTTAACACTGCAGCTAACGTAGCCCTAAGCCTCTAACTAGATTTGTTATAATAAACTTTCCCCAGTTGTCAGGGATTTAAGTGACCTCATATTTTGGTTTTTGAAGCCATAGAAGGTCTCATATCCCTCATATTCTCAAACATGCAGTTCACATTACCTTTAATGTACAAACTTAATTAATAGTATTCACGTCAGTGTTTTACTTGTCTCTGTTTGCCTTTTCTTAGATTCTATCGTTGTGTCTCAACAGATACTACACAATTATGTTCACATTGGAGTACTTTCCCACTTCTGGAAACTTCCTCCTCATGTTCTACGTTGTAACACTGAACAAAACAGCATCAACCTTTAGCCTTTCTGTGGGGTTCAACATGTCTAGCAATCACAAGGAGCTCGCAGTACAAAGAAGTGAAGTGAGCTTTAAGTGAGACTGCTGTGGGACTGACCCTGCAGAGGTCCACCGTTCACCCTCCATGTAGTCGTCGGCTGAGGAATCCCACTGGCAGAGCACTTGATGTGCACGTCTGAGCCGATCATACTGAGCTGACTCTCAGGCTCAAACACCCACTCTGGAGGCTCTGAGAACACACAGTCAGCGTGATGTTATCAGTATAAAGAAGACACTGAGCACTTACAGAGGAGAACACAATCACAGGAATAGTTATGCAATATGTATTATTCAGTAAAAATGAATGCTACATTTACTACCCATTCAGCTGCCTTTACCACCATGATATAGAGATTATACTATTATTTGGAATTATTCTTAACACCGTCTTTCACACACAACCATGTTTAACATAGCAATCAAAAGAAAGGAAGCTGACAGTGAAAAAAATAGCAAAGCTGCTGTTTTAAGGTGTAATCTGTCAGTAAACAATGGGCATGCATCAATAGCTATCATTCATTTAGTGAGCTTTTGCTTTAAAACCAGTATGTAGTTGGATTTCAGATGTTTATGCAATCAGATCTTCATCTTTCAATGATATTTAAAGCTTTTTTTTCCATTTGAGGCTTTAGAAAATAAGAATAAAAATGTATTAGCCATCAGCCTTTTCTTAATCTTTCCTGTACCTGATAACCATTTGGCAGATCCACAATCCATAAAGTGGGAACAGAGTATAATAACTAAATAAAAACTAGCTCCATTTCCACTAATCATAGAATCTTACTTACAGATTAAAGCATTAGAGTTAGGTGATAATTTGATATACAATAACAGAAGAATCATACTTTGATCTAAGCAAATTTCTTAAAGCAGAACTTATGTGAGGATTTTAACATAATGTATCGTCACAGCAGCTGGTCTTTAAACCCCTTTTTTTTATCAATGATTAGACTAATTTGTCAAACAGAAATAATGAAATCGATGTAGACAAACCAGATGTGACAACATTGCAGTGTGTTTCACTGTACACTGTTTTTACCTTCGACTGTCACGGTGAAGGTATGTTGAACTTCTCCCAGTGGATTCTTTGCCTTGCACATGTACTTCCCACTGTCTTCCAGCTCAGCTCTTGGCACAATCACCAATTTTCCATGATTCTCAAATTTCACTTTACTAGGAAATTTGTGGCCCATTTTCATCCATTCAACCTGTGGAGTTGGACTGACAGAAAATGGGAACAAATGGTGAGCCTAAAATAGTGACATACTGCCTTTACATGGGTAAAATTAAAGGTCCTGGAAGCGCTAGAGCTTATCCCAGCAGTCATAGGGCAAGAAAGATAGCTACACCCTGGACTGGTCACCTGTCTGTCACAGGGAAAACACAGACAACCATTCACACCTACAACCAACCAAACTAATTAAGTGTCTTTGGACTGTGCGAAGAAGCCAGAGTACCTGAAGAGAATCCATGCAAACACATGGAAAACATGCTAATTCCCAACAGAAAGCCCAAAAGCCACACTGTGGATTTGAACCCAGAACCTTCTTGCTTTGAGGGGACAGTGCTAACCACCACACCACCATGCTACTCTAACATAGCAATATAACTGCTAATATAGTAACTCTAAAACATTAAGTTAAATTATTACTCACAATCCTTCAGCAATACACTCCAGGTTCAGGTCCTCTCCTTTGACCAGCTGTATCTCTGATTTGCCACCAGGGGGCGTCAGAAGAGAGGGTTTTCTCTCCAGAATTGCATTAGCTGAAAAGAACAGAATACACAGTAAGACAGAACAGCATACTCACACACCTTTCTTGTGCATAAAGCAGTTCATACACATGCAGAAACACACTAATATAACTTACCATTTTCAGAACTGTCACTTTTTCCTAAAATCATGACGGATGAGACCAAAAAAACAAACACACAAACAAACAAACAAGAAAAAAAAACACACACAATGAACATGTGAAAAATGTGGATGACGCACATCACCAACATCTGAGTCACATCATAAAATCATAGAAACAAAAAGACGCGCACAAACAAAACAGTGTGACACGGGGATGGCTTTTGAAGTGTTTCCTTTCAACAATGGTATCGGCGAATGTGCTGGTAAATGAACGGTGCTCGAAAATCAAAGTACACGTCACGCTGGTTTGAGAGGCAAACAATAATCGAGTGGAGACAAAGAAAACAACGAGACACCTACTTGTCTTGACAATGACAGACATGGCGGTCTTCTGAACGATCGTTCGTATTCTGGGGAAGGAGGCGAAGCAGCAGTAGTCTCTCCTGCTGTCCTTCTCCACTGCGTGGGAGAAGTAAAGGTCTCCGTTCAGGCCCACGGACACCCTCTGATCCTGCTCAATGTGCTGGAGATCTGAGCACAGGAAGATGGTGGCAATGATTCCATGTAGATGTAAACAATCTTTAATTGAACAACTGCTGATTTAAAACCATGTACTTCAGCTTAACCCAGCTAAACGACATTGGAACATAATGAAGTAATTTTCCTAATACTTCACTGAGACAGTTACTAAGACCTTCACAAAAAAATATATGTTTACAGATTGACTAAAAGTTTCTGAAATTTTATGGCTTGGGAATAGTAAAAATCAACTACCATCATCTAATTTGGATCACTTGTTATATGTTTCATAAACACAGCTACACACAATAATGAATTCCCCTCTCATTTTTTAAATAACTGTGGCACAACGAGAATGAATGTTTCACTGTTTTACAAAGACCTAGAAGAATAGTCTTTATTTTGGTCTTCTGTACCTTATTTATCTCTTGTATAAACTTCCAAACTGCCTACGAAGCAGAGAAAGCTCATCACTCTAATAACCCCACCAGCTGAAGCAGTCATTTCTGCACTGATATAATGGATAACACTTCTATAACACTTCTGCCACCACGGCTGTGAAGTGTCTTTATACATGGAAAAAAAAATCTTTTAAACTGTTCAAAAACACTCCATACCATAATTTTACTACTGGCTTCTTCCAACTCTTCAGTAAAGCTAAACATAACAAACATTTCACCTGATATATTTCATGTTTGTGAGAATGTGAATATAAAGAAGTTCTGTGGCTTTGAAAAGAGAGTCTGCTATGACTTACCCACCTTCTGATTAGGATGTGATTCAAAACACATTTTTATAAGCCTAATATATCTTATGAAATTTACCGTCTAAACTATTTTTAATTAACCAAGTTAGAAAGTCAACACCAAACTGTGCACACATCACAACATGAGATATTACTTACTAATAGTCATCCAGTAGATCTGCAGTGGAGGTATACCGTTAGGTGGGTCACATTTTAAAGTAAATGCCTGGCCTTCTTCTACCACGACAGGATCGAGTGTCTCTTTAGGGAATTTAGGAACATCTGAAAACAAGATAAACTAGAGTTGAAAAAAATAATAAATAGTGTGGTGCAGTTTTTCTTTTCAACAGAAGGTGGCAGTAATATCATTCTTGAATTCTACGTGTAGCATGTGTCAGTTTTACCTGTGCTGCGAATCATTCAATAGATTGAATCCTAGGGTGCTCTGTTTATTTATTTATTTATGTATTATCTTCAGTTCTGGCTCTCAGAAACAAAACAGACATCCCTACCGCTATTGTTCATGGCCCTGTCACCAGTGCTGAGCGGTTGAAGCCCAGCCAAATTTAGTCAAAGTCCCCTGTGGAGTGGATTTTCTTGGAGAATTTATGTAGTGTTCTTTGGAACAAAATGAAAAATGAGGCAAAGGAAATGATGGAGAGGCTAGATCACACCCGATGGTTTTTCTGATGCAGACCTATAGATGAGACGCTGCGAGGGGTGGAGCGCTCGGGAACCTCAATGACTTTCTGCCACGTCCAATACAATGAAAAGCTCACAACAGAGAGGTGCAGTCATTACGGGGAGCTGCTGGCCCTGAATCACTTTGAAAGCTCTGTAACAGAGCACCTCACACACATCACACATCTGCACGCACACTCAAAGATGCAGGTTACTCACTGGGCACAATGAACTCAATCTCCTTCGATATGGCGATGCCTAGTTTGTTTGAGGCGTAACAGTGATAGGTTCCCTGGTACTCTGTAAGGTTCCCATTATTGGGTATCACAAAGGTCCCAGAATTCTCTTCTTTCATCAGGCGGGGGTCTAGAAAGGGGTCGAATTCCTGGTCATTCTTTGTCCATCTGAATCTACATAAAGAAAGCCAGTGTTAAAATGTCAAGTCTTAAAGCTGAGACTGTAGCACACTCAGTACCCAAAGTTACAAATCAAAGCATCGAAGTGCAACATGTTGGTGCTAAAGTGTTGTTTGGTATTTAGTGTCTGTTTGACTGCTAATAACAAGCTCCCGTCCTTTGAAGTACTCACTCTGGCTCGGGATTCCCTTTGGCTTCACAAATCACGGGGAAGCTTTCGTCAAAGGGAAAGGCGATGAGAGTGCTGGGCGACTGAGCTGTGATGGTGGGCAGCTGCTCAACTGGGCAACAAACAGACAGGCAAGCATGAAAATTAAAGAAACAACACAGGCCTCAAGAAAGCTATTAAGAAATGTGTCATACTCATCATGATACTAGGACAGTGGTTCCCAACATTTTAGATTTGTGAATGCCAATTTCCTGAGGAATATGCTTTTGACTTACCTCAACACATCTTCAATATAGTCTGCTTTTGAGGTTTTAAGAGGTCTGACATGGAAAAGTGACATCTTGTTGTATTTTGGAAGACAAAAATGGCCATATTTCAACAAGTGCTATCAGTCAGTTACAGGCTAATTCTAGCAAGTTTACTTAGCATCCATAAGCTGAATGGATGTAATACACAGTCACAGATACTTGCTAGTTAGTGCATGTAACATATTCATAATATAAAATCATATAATACTAGAATTTTACTCAGCAAAATTGGCCGGTCTGTACCTCACAGGAGGTCATATCATTTGTCAAATAATGGGATTAAAAGGCTGCAAAAGGCACCAACACCTTAAACATGTTACAACACGGTCCAGTTCAATGACTTTAATTAGTGGATGCCAAGCAGACACTGATCAGGGGTGTGACTGCTGTAACTGTTAATATAAAGATTGAGGCTATCAGTAGAGGCCCAAACCATTTTTGTGTACAAGGCTCCAAACATGGTCTTTAACCCTCTGAGGTCTAACCCAGTAGATGTGCCCACAGTGGGAAGGTGTGTGGGTGAACTGTGGGGGTTGTGGGCAAACACAAACTTATCCCACACTGGTCATAAGTGGGTGTGCCCACACAGAGCCCACAGCAGGTTTTCCCTTTGGGGACCTTCTATGGGTTTTATTAGCAAACCCATAGTTGGCTTGCCCAAAAAAAACCCCACGTGCGACCCATGTAGGCTAGTTCATGTAGGGCCCACAATTGTTTTACTCCTTGAGGCTCCCAAGACCCCTTATTAAGAATGATTTAGGTCTCTTCCTGGTTGCAAACAATGTATTTAAAACATTATTGCATATTTTAGTTGCCTCAGGTTGGGATTTCGGGTTAGGGTTGTGGTTTTCACCACTTACAAATTAGACCTCAGAGAGTTAATAATCAAACATTGGGCACTGTAGAATGGAAATCTATGGGTTTAACTCATTTCTGTAGCAACCTTCAAATGGCCAATTGAGGAACTGCAGTTTTGGCACTTTCAACTTAGCTTCATTGCTGCTTGGTTGGGAACCACTGCACTACTATGACAATTACATGTCCAAAAACAAAGAAAACAAATGTATCTATTAAGGTGACAGTGTGCTAATGCAATGAATCACTTTGTTAGACTTGCTTTATTCTGGAATAAAAGCTCTTCATTTAGTCTCTAATGGCCTTGATGATAAAGTAGTGACATGTGGTGTGGATGGAAAAGCACATGCCACGAGTCCTAGAAGTGTCAATACCAGTATTATGGAGTCAAGACTGATGACACATGGTATTCAGATCCAACACATATGGCTGTAAGTAAAGCTAGTGCTAAGCTTAATTGAAAGCCAGGAGATGAAAAGGAGAGAGCAGAAGACTTCACTAATACTAGCTACAGTATGGCAGGGTAAACTTACTGTTTATGTGACCTAAAACTATATAATCCATGGCAGCAGGGGGAAATAAACCAGAAACAGTCAGCAGTTTGGGAATAATCCTTTCTTGTCAAGTATTCTCTAAACACAAGCCCTTTGTAACATACACCCGTGTAATGGAAAACACAAGGCAGAATTAAATAGACTTCTCTGACAATGAGCCCCAAAATGCAGCCGCCTTTTTTCACAAAACCTGTTTGAACTGTTCTTATCAAGCCCTTAAGAGATATTTTTTAACTGAATAATTTAGAGGAAGAGGGTTGATGCGTGTTACCAAGGAAACTGGGATACACGCATACAGCTAACACAAAAGGAAAGAAAAACCTGATTCAAACAAGATAATAACTGTAAATATATTCAATTCACAAAATGCTTGACGATTGTAACAGTTCTCTACAGTGTGATGTATTTCCCTCTGAATTATTCAGCGCCTTTCTTTTTCTGATAAAAAGCACTTCAAGGAGAAGTGCTCTCTGTGGATGAGCACAAACAACAAAACAGCCCTTTATACATTTAACCTTTCTTTCATTCATGAATCGTTTTCTTGGAGTAGCTCTGAATGTGTGTTTATGTGCCAGTCTGTCAGTCTGTTGTCAGATTTCAACCAATTTGTACAGAACTGTAACTCATCACAGAGAAATTTGGAAACCCCACCATAACTTTTATGATTTATTTGTTTACGGATGAATTTACACGTGAATTACCTCTTGCAGATTTTTTTTATCATTAAAAGAAGATTGTTATTTCAGTCATTAGTATCTTGCAGATCTCTTCTGGGACTGTCCTGCGCTTCCACTCACATACTTTGAAAGCAAGCAAGTGGTGGAGCAGAGAGCAGCAGCAAGACCCCCAGACAGAACAGAGCAGATATCAGTGTGACACTGATTAAGCCAGACATAACATAAAAGGGGTGGGCATGGGTTGTTAAGTGGCTCGCAGACGCCAAATGATTGTGAAGAAATGAATCAGCAGAGCAATCATCTGATGTAGACTGGCACAGGTTATCTGATCTACTGGAATTAGAGCTGAGCTCACTTTTGTGGTGTGCCTGAACTAAAGCTGGAGTTTGGAAACTACATTGTTTTTATTAAACCAGATGTTTTGAGCTTGAAACTAGTGACTGAGACAATAAAGTCATCAGGAAAGATTTCACCTAAGCATTAAATCAGAAGTTAGACTGTACTTCCTCAAAGTACAGAGGCTGCATTCATCTTTAAACACTCATCAGCCACTTTGTCAGCTGCTACAGTCAGATGGCAGCCACTCAGTGCATTTAGGCATGTAGTCATGGTCAAGTCGACCAGCTGAAGATCAGCCTGAGCATCAGGATGGAGGAGGAAGGTGATTTAAGTTACTTTGAAGGTAGGGTAGCTGCCAGATGGAGTGGTACTTCAGAAACTGCTGATCTACTGGGATTTTTCTGCACTACTATCTCTAGTGTTTAAAGAGAATGGTCCAAAAGAGAGAAAATATCCCTATTTCTGCTACAACATGTGGATGGTAGAATCAGACACAGTTCAGGCTTCTGCTGCTGGTGTAATAATGCGGTTTTCTTGGCACAACTTGAGGCAACTGAGCATCATTTAAACAACACAGCCCACCTGAGTGTTGTTGCCCACCACGTTCATCCCTTTATGACCAGAATGTACCCATCTTCAGATGGCTGCTTCCAGCAGGATAACACACCTTGTCACAAAGCTCAAATCTTCTCAAACTGGTCCCTTGAACATGACACTGAATTCACTGTACTCAAATGGCCTCCACAGTCACCACATGTCAATCTAATAGAGCACCTTTGCAATGTGGTGGAATGAGAGTCACTACATGGATGTGCAGCAGACAAATCTGCAGCAATTGAGGGATATGTGAATATGGACCAAAAGTGGATCCAACCCAGTGCGAGCAAGGTATACCTAATAAAATGTCTGGTTAATGCATAGCTCTTTAGCTAATCCTTCACTATGCTTGCACTGAGCATGTGCTGTATTGTTAGATTTTAAAGCTTTCTGAAAACAGCTACTTCCTGCAAATGAAGGCAAAAACAGTGATGCATACCTGGGCAGCTAAGAATTTAGTTAAAGCATTTGTTTTCACATTATTATTTTGACAAGAGCATAGCCGCTTTAATAGTCTCTTTTATTCTTAGACGTTTGGTTTTATTTGCCAAATTTCCGGTATGCATTTCTCTGATAATTCCTGTAATTCCCAAAAAAAACCACAGTGGAAATGAGGTTTTTAGGGGATTTTGTCTTTTTCTTTTGTGGTGTTGACAGAATACAAAAATTACATTCAAACTTGAAAGCAGAGTTATGTTCTTAGACATAATGTATCTTTTTATCTGGATAATCCACATGATGTCATGGTTATTTCAGTAGAGGAGGTTTTCTTTGGTACAAAAGAAAAGGCTCTAAGAAAACTCTTTTCTATTTCTTTTGTCATCCCACTGAACCCCCTCCTGAATCATCCTGCATCCTTTGTTGTGAATGTGTGACTTGTGAAAGAGTCATGACTTACCTTCCAGCGGGATGTCAATGGCTGAGGTCGTATGAAAGGCACAAATACAGATAACCATCAACAGCACGGTGGCCAGTCTGGGGCTCCTCAGCAACGTCATAGTGTCGAGATCTCGGACAGTCACAGGAAATTAACGCTCTCCACTTTGTCTTCAGTTCATGACTATGGTGAAGATGCAGTACCTGTAAAGTAGCACAGATGTAGAAGACCCCATGAATCCACCCACGCGCTGGCAGACAGAAAGGCAAAAAAACCCCAAACAAAACAAATCCCCCGTGACTCTAAGCCCGACTGCTCTCTGCTCAGCCAGGCATAACCAGGCACACATTTTCATTCCCATCAACGGGGACTCAGTTCTGAACTAGTTCATATTTTGGTGTGACAAAGAGGAGAAATATTCACATTAAAGCCTCCTATCATCTCATTTCCCCATGGGGCTCACATTGTTTTGTAGTCTGCGGAAGTGTGCGGCACAAAGCATATTTCTCAAGCGACAATGGAAAGAAATAAACAAATGAGGGAGCCTGTGGATTTATTAATGCGTGGCAGATGTTCAGCATTACTTTTGGAAAAAGCCAAGATTGAAATCAACATCAAAATTACCATCAAAGTTTGGCCGATTTAATCATCGTGCTGTTTTGATCTGTGCCTGCATGTTTCTGATAACAATGACTCAAAGAGATTACGAATGCGGACCATTTTATCTTTTATTGCAGCAAATACTGTTGCCTGAGGGGTGGGAGACATAAAAAGCATACATAGTTAACAGTCAGACTGAGTAAGCTGTCTGCACTTGCACACCGACAGAGCTGCAAGAGGACAGAGTGCTGGATAATTTTCCATCCAATAGACGAGAGTCTGGACCATAATGAGCGCATGATCGGTCCAGAGCAATGTATGGGAATTCTAATGTCTTGGAGCAGTACTATAAGAAACCTCTGGGGTGTCGCTTCATTAGTCGTCCCCATGTTGGCTGTGACCCAGCTCAGCAGGTCATGCTGGAGTAATTAGCTCAGCAGCTAACAACAAAACAGAAGACTAATACAGAAACATTAGAGTTTTAGAGAAATCTTAAAGCTGCTGGCCTACAGGGAACTCGTGCCATTCGTGTAAAACTGAAATGTAGTAAAGAGCATCACAAAGGATAAAATCCAGTAATTGCAATTACTGTATTATTAATGTTGCTAATCAAACCAATTAATGTCAAGGAAAGTATCAAGTGTAGCAGCCAAGATATGAGCGGCACAGTAACTACTACTCAACCAACTGATCAGTATCTTTAAAAGAGCTTCCTCTTTACAACAGCGCTCAAATCCAGCTCACCCTTTTCTTAATCTTCTGGCTGCTTTCTTCAGTTCAATAGGCAACACTGAGGTCAAACTCCTGTTCAAGGAGTGTAATTGAATAATTGACCAGAGGGGGGGAAAAAAGAGTCGATTTCATTCATTGGATGCAGGCGTGCTGTCAGATGGATGTGCACTCTGAACTCTTCAACCATACCTCATGGTAATGGTATTGAGTCTGCCTGAACCAATGTGTGACCTATGCCCCACCCACAAACAGCATTACCAACAAGGTGCTAGGTGCTGTATGTCACATACATCAACCCACTCCATCACAATTTATGTCTATTGGGTATATTTCCAACTGAAGATTTGTGTGTCAAACTCATCCAGGAAACTGCTTCAGGCTTTTCTTTATTTTAGCCTTCCCACACATGGTGTTTTATGATAATCAAACAGATCCTAATTAAAAGCTAAGGGTTTTGTGCTAATTACCTTGTGCATTGTTGGTAAGCCCCACCTGGTTAAGGAGCGAGGGCCAAGGTTACAATCCCCAGAAGAGAATGTGCTTTCATTGTCTTATTGTGCCGGCCAAAATCCTTTACCAACCTAACAACACCTTCGATGGATTACACTTGGTTCAAACTGTGCCTGATCATTTGCCTTCTGATTTAATTTGTTCCCCCCTCGTTAAACATTTATTGAGAACTCACTTGGCCATCTGGCTGAGGGAGGTCCGCTAAGAGCTTAACTGCTGCGAGTGATGAAGTCTGCATTGAACTCACAGGGTATGGTGCCTATTGGAACTATATGATGCACAGGAGAGAGGGCACCACTCTCTCTCAAGCTGATTTACAGACCGTGGGCTGCTCTTAATCCCCGCCTCTTTCAAGAGCAATCACACCAGCCAGAGATTGATGAAGCTGGCAGAAGGTTAAAAGCTGCTCGCTGTGGGAAGGCCAGTATGAACCCTAACCTTCCTCGGCCAAGGCTCAGACGAGACAGAAGCTGCGCTGTGGAGGGGGGGGGCACATGGAGGGAAATGGGCCAAGTGGAATCTGCCTGTGCAACTTTAAGGCTCTCTCCGAGTGACAGATTCAGTGCACTCTTTGATAGACTTCCTCGTTGTCAACAAGACCAAATCATTTTTGATTACTTATCCATTTAAAACAAAGGCACTTGTGATAG